TCCTTTCGTATCGTTGCACGCTGTCGATGCCGTGTCGATGGTATCGCGTTCCACGATGTCCCTTTTCTCTCTCCCTCTCTCACCTTCTCTTTTTCTCTGGTGTTATTTATTGGCGACGACCGGTTGTTTTTCGTTGCTTGATCGCTGCAGAATTTTCTCCGCTACAGAGAGAGTATCTTATCTGGTTGGTTTTTTTTTTGCTGGAATAAATATGGACGGTTTAATTTTATTATACGGGAGATAGAAAGGGTAATACAGTGGCTATTTTCCTCGGTGATCTTCTTTCTCATGCCAGTCTGTTGGGGGGATGTAATGTTTTTTATTACATAAGAGATAAAGGGATCGTCCAGTGGTTATCTTCCTTCGTGGAGGAATAATTTTTTTTTACGATAGTTTATCAAGTGGTTTGACTATGTTATACGGGGGATAAAAGGGGGTAATTCAGTGGTTATCGGCAATTTTTTTTTTTTTTTTTTTTGGTCATAGTAATCGTGAGGGTAATTAAATTTCGTTGCGTGGATTAAAAAGAGGGAGGTCAGTGGCCATCTTCTTGTGACAATTTTTCTTTTTTCCTTTTTACTTATCATACTCTGTGGATGGCCAGTGGCCATTTGCTCTTCTCCTATTTTTTTAGAATATTGGAGGAGATAAAAAGAAAAGTTCAGTGGTCAGCTTCGTTAGTAAATATTGCATTGGGTACTTCAACTTTATTGTCGAGAAAAAACACTGGTCATCTTCTCTAACCAATGTTCGTCCTCGAAATAGCACTTCAGATAGCTTAATTTTATTACAAGGTAGATAAAAACAATTTTCCGTTTTATTACCTCATTGACCAGTCTAATCGTACCTAAACACGAAAAAATGCTTCCTCTATCCTTGAAAGGAAACATTATAGTGTCCTTGAGGATGGATTTATACCCATGTAGTATAGCAAGCATGAATTAGAATTCCATTCTTCTGCTCTAGCTTCCCGTGGACCCCAATTCTTTCGGTAAGAATTTCGGGAGGTCGTCAATCCCACTTACACCCTAGGTGACGGTACGGGGTTGCTGCTCAATTGAGAAATTGATCTCTTTTGGTGGTTCTAATTAAGATCGGATAATTTAGAAAATTTTATTTTGTCACGACTGAATTTACAAATGTTGTTGCGAGTAATTCGAATTTTTGTGTTGTACTGTATTTGGCTGGGTTGGGTGTCACTGCGAGAGCGAGACTCCAAGCGCTGGCTAGAGACTGACCCCGTCGCCCTGACAGAAAAGAGCATCGGTTATGGAGATGAGAGGTTCTCGAGGTTTTTGTTTTGTCGATGGGTTCGCTCGAGGAGGTTTATTGGGGACCGATGTGAATTTGGTAGCCCGGTCTGGCGGTCGAATTTGACTAATGAATTTTATGACGATAATCCGCCAGGCCGGGGTTTCCTCGCGTGCATGGCGACGCAGCAGAATTGAAGTGGGAAAATTTTCGGTATAAATAAAAAAACGTGTGTTTGTTCATTGTGGCACTCTATATCGTTGATCACTTGAACGCTATGAATTTTCAGTGTTTATAGATTTAGTGGAAAAAAGAGTGGCCCTGAGTACTGCTTTCATACAAGGGGAGGTAAAAAAATTCACAGAATGAAGGAGGAGAGTCAAAAAACTGAATATTAACTTCATTACATTTTTCAGATTCCTGAATTAATTAAGTTATTCCCTCATAAAGATTCCCTCGTGGAAGAATAACCTATCTATTAGACTCGGCACAATCTTGTATAACGCTGTAGATTAGAGATTTGAGGCTTTCCATATAGAATTATTTTTCCAACGTTTCGCCGTTGCTGAAAGCATCCCTTAGATCTCGTGAAATAAATAACTATGTGTTGTATATGTAAAACAATAAAAACTGAATAAGTGCTAATTCCACTATGGTGGAAAAAGCTACATGCTATTGTAACAAAGTAATTACATATATTTGCTTATTGTCTTTTTGACAGACTGTAAATATGTAAAAGGAGTTAATAAAAACATTTTTTGACACTTGCATCGTTTAGCACTCGAACGCTATGAGTTTTCAACGTTTATCGCGTAGGAGGTGGTCTAATGAACTATACTCAAATCAGGATGTCGTGCAAAGTAGTTTATTTCGTACTCTTCGGACTCTTTACTGAAGCTAAGAACCGACTCCCGTCGAATGGCAAAGATATCGCTGGGCCGAACCGATGGGTACTCGGGTCTGGGTTTGTCACTCGCCAAGAGGCGCGGGCCAAGCCATACACCGTCCCAAAATGCCTACAATCGATTTAAAGCACTTGCAGCGTTCACCGCCGTATTAAGCATGGAATTTACATTCGTCTGTGCTAAAAAAAACAATTTTCCATATTTTGTTCTGGCACTTATTTTGTTTCAATTTGCGTGACAAAAGACGCGAAGTGCTTAAACGAGCGTTAGGCTGAGCGTCACGCAATTCGAAAAAGGAGGCAGTCGAGAGGGGTAGCATTATTGCATCACGTCGCGTGGTAGTCGATAGGAAAGTAGCGCTTGAATTTCCTGCGAAAGAAGAATTCTAACGACCGCGATAAGGCTAGCTGCACTGGCTATGAAACATAAGGGAACCGCTTGCATTTCGCATGGAGATAAGCAACCATTTCGATATTCTCTCGTTCTTCGCGACACGCCTGACACTTCCGTTTCTTTTCGTACCCTCGTATGTACTCCTATCTGATCGAGAATATACTTATTCTAACGCTTCGTAATCGTGCGAATTGTGCTTTATTTTCTCCTTTGATATTACAAATTAGATGTAACGATTAGCAAAGAGAAATGGCTCGCATGCCGGTGTTTCCCTGTGTAATAATAATGTTTCGAAAAATCTGGTGTGATTTATGGTATGACTTTTTGAACAATCCACGCGGCTGATAGCCATCCGACAATTAGGTTTTACAAAGAAAGTGCTGTTCTTTTTAGGGCCGGTTGCTTTTATCGGGACGTTCTCTGTTCGTTTGCAGCGAAGGTTAAATGAATATTTATGCTATATTTGGCGTGTTTTATAAATGGTTGCGTTACAAGGCTTTTTGTATCGTATATCTTCTATTTTAAGAATTTATGTGCGATTAATTTGTATTCTGGCTGGCTATATGTATAAGATAGTATTGCTTTTCTCGGTAAAGAAAATTGTGGAAGAATCTTCACCAAAATAAAATCGAGATAAATGTATTATTTAATAATTATTACACGTCGACTATTTCTCTGTCATTCGTTACAATTACATAAAATCTCCCCCAGGCTCCCTAAACCATACTCTTTGTTATTTCCATTTACGAATGCATTACTTTCAACAAAGGCAATTTTTGCCGACCAATAGGTACGATCTAAATTATCTTTTCACAATAACGCAAAAGGATGAACGCACAAATTCCACATTGCATTGTTATTTTTGCATGTACATATGTGTATATACAAAAAAAAAAAAAAATGAAGAAAGGAAATAAAATATTGACTGTTGGAGGTCGTAAAACTTGAACCAGGAAGGTTTTATTCCTTCGACAGATATATTTCACGCCCGGAATAATTTTCGATGAAATCTACGCCTGTTTAAAAAAAACAAGAAAGAAAGAAATAAAGTGAGCAGCACCTCGTAACAGGCTGGATTATCGTTCACAGCTCTTTATTCGAGACTAAAAATTACGAGAACACCGCGGTTCCATGCTTCCGTTTCGTAATTAGGCGAGGGCGTTATAAAGCGGCGTTATCGTTTCACTTCGACCCGCGTGCAAAATAGGCGGTGTTCCGCGACGACTGGTTTCAGATAAATTTCCAGTAGTAAAAGGCTCGTTACGACCGCGTCGTTGCAACATGCACAGAGAAAGAACAGTCCCTTTTTGCTCGCGTTGAAACAAAAATTACTCGTGTCTCGGTGTGTTTTTATTCTCGTGCCAACCCGCGGAGCGGAATAATTTTTATAGGAAATTCATGCATCGCGGGAGCAGCGTAAGAAACGCCGGCGGAATAAAAAATACTTACTCTTCTTCGTGATTTTGTTCTCTTTACACCTGGTACATTGTACGTGATCGTAAATGGTCTGCTATTTTATTTCCCCGCGGGGAATTTCAATAAATTTCGATCGTATTGCCGAGTACAACGAATACGATGAATTATTTATTACGCGATAATACGAGCTCCGTTTTTGCATGAATGCTTGTCGATACACTTTTGTCATGGTGACGCAAAGATATACGATCGCGAGGTTTCTTCAGCTGCTGCCAAAGGTGTTTTTCTTTTAAGCAATTTGTTTAGAAAATGTGAAGATTATTTGAAGGTTAGGCTGTTTCGAGGTTATTTTCAGAAACCTAACTGAAATGTAAACATTTCCCATAACAATTAATTCACTTGTCAAGTCTCCTTAGTGCTTCTTTAAAAAAAGCCACGCTGCTCCGATTCCTCCGGTTTCTTCGAATCTCCGCGTCGAATCTCGTTCCCTCGAGACGCAATCTGCCGTCTCTTCCAGGGAGAACTTATTAAACGAAGCACCGAAAGAGAAAAAAAAAAAATAGAAAAAAGCAACCGAGTAAACAACAGCAAGAACGTTGTCGCGATAACGCCACAGGCGTTTCTTTAACCTTTTAAAGCTCGTCGTGACGTTCACTTTTCCCGCCGCTGCCTTACTGACGCAATTTATATATGATATAGTTCTCGAGAAAATATTTACCACGTATCTTTTTTTATCGACCATCATTTATGTTAAGGGCGTGAAAACAACCGTCAAAGTTGAGGTGTGAGACCTATTTGGTCCAGTATCTCGGGAACTATTAGAGATGGAGAAATGATTTCTTATGTTTTACGAGGCCACGGCAGGCATGGTTTAAAGGTGACACGGAAAGATTCTGTAGGGCGAGTATTAACTATTGAACGATGAAAAGAGAGAGATGACCTTGACCGGTGAATATATTTGGCTCCGACTATAGCACGCGAGTGTACACAGGGCTGTAATAAAGATCTCTCCGTTTCTTCTTCTTTCTGTTACAGCTCTATCGGCACACATACCTGGCCCACTACAGGATCGTCAACCTGGAGACCTTGTAAGTAAACGAGCCGTACGGCCGCGGGCCATTTAGCTTAATCGTATCTCAAACTTATTATTCCACCTTCTCCAAGCTGGGTTGGCTGGTAGACGCGCGAAGAAGGGGTTTCGGTGGAGTGAGTCAGGGACTTTTAGATTTGCATTTTAATCTTCGCGCCACCGGTACAGCCCCTAGGAAAAGACCTGGCGTGCAAATTACGGCCACGGGAATTTCAGCTACTCTCCCTTCCAAACCACTTTCTCATCCTTGTCGTCTTAGCCGCGAAACGCTACGTCGCGACGTGCCGCTCCCTCCCCCCCGCCCCTTTTCCACGAGCCGCTCTTAGTTCCGCCAAACTGGAACTTCCGTACCTCTTTTCATTCCTCGCCCCCACTGTGGATCTCTGGATGTTAATTCGCCGTTTAAGAGTGCTTATATTACGATTAGAGCCGACGCTGCTGGCCTCGAATTCGTTTCCACCCTCTTTGCCATGAGCTTAATCGTGCTCGTTCGTCCGTCCGCGAATTTCTACCGTAGAGAACTGGCTCTGCTCTGCTCTGTGCTTTCTTGACGCTTAAGGGAGATTGTGGAGGAAGGGGAGAATGGGAGGAATGTATTGCGTGGAGTGTTGGTGAAGGGTTGTTGAGGTTTCAGGGTGATTTTCGACGATGAGAACATAAGTGGAAGGGAACTGGTTTGTGTTTTGCGTGTGTTTGATTTTCACCGGCATTTTGGATGTTTGTAGTACTGTGGTGTAGCTTGGAGAAATGTTTAGAGTATCTAATTGATGTAGACGTCTTTTAATTATTTTTTCAAGTACCTACTGTCAACCTCTTCGGGTACACTTGTGTATAGTTGGGGCCACGATATAGCGAGGTCGTAAATTAAACTCTCAAGAATCGGCACCGATTGATGTTGCGGCACTCAAGGCCGTGTGTTGCAGTCTGTTTGAGGGTTCCAACAATAAACGAATGGTAGCATATGATTTGGTACTTCAAGTAGAAAATGGTATTTCATTTACAAATGGAAAATATGTTAATATTAAGCTACACAATCTTTTTGCACTTTCTATCTGTATATAACACGAGTAGATAAACTAAGATGCTAAAGACATCAATTAGACCTTTACCTGTAACCGTACTTCCAAAAGCGGCTTCCCCCAGAGGGAGAAACCCTAATTTGTCCTAGCTGCATGCATATTAGAATCAGTTGACTTTGGCTGGATACAAGAATTCTTCGTACGGTCCTGACAATGGTTTCAAGTACTTATCTGCTCGTATCTCTGTCAATTTTCGGGTCCCGGCAGCTAAAACATGTTTACTTTGACGTCTGACCGTTTTTACGACCTCGCTATATCGTGGCCCTGACTATATGTTCACCTTCTTTGTTTTTAATTCCAATATCTGTGATAGGACGATAAATACAACAAATTAATTATTCAATATTTTCTACATTCCTGTAAATGTTAACACACACATGCATATACTCCTTAAATTCTAAAGTCTACACTTTCACAGAAATCTACACATTTGAAAATCGAAAAGTCTCCATTTTTTTTACACTCTCCAACCTCAAAATCTTCTCTGATCGACGTCAGACAGGAAGCTAACGTAAAGGCCTTCCATAACAACCAATATTGTTGAAACGAGTCTTGGCGTTCTCCGTTGCGCTTTTGAAAATCCCAAACTTTTTTTTTCCATCGAAAGTTTCACCCTTCAAGCCTCGAGTTACAGCCCTCGGGCGTCTTTCGTGAACCGGAAGTACGTCCGTTAGCCGTGGCACGAGGCCGTTTTACGCGCTTCCACGTTATTCTTTAATGACTTCTCGGTGGAACGCGTGAGATAACTGCGCCCAGGATAACTTCAACCCGGATAACTTGGCGTATAAATACGTGAGCACGGTAAATCTGCGAGCATAGCCTGGCACAATTATTCTTACGAACGATGGTGTTAGGCCTGGCTGTGGCTGAGGGTTGGATATTGATGTGGCTATAGTCGCAGCTATAACTGGGACTAGAATCATGACTGTACCACTCGTTGCTGTAGCTTTCGGTTCAACTGTAATTATTATTATCAGTTGGGGCTATAGTTGAAATTGTTTCCAGACTTTTCGAAGAACTTTCCGCTTAAGAGAGTATTTGTGGAGTTGTTGCACTCGGTGGAAGAGATTGTAAAGTGGAAGTTAAGAAATCCGTGAACTGTACCACTTTACTTACGCGAAGTGTAGATGTTTAAAAATAGGATAGAATAGTAGATTCGGTGAGTAATGTTGGTGCAAGTGAATTATAATTGCTGCACATGCTGTAGAACTTTTGTAAAGAGGTTTTCTGAGGGAAGTGTAATTTTACCATTTTACTTTTATTTTAGATGTTTAACAATAGGAGAGAATTGTAGGTTCAGTGAATAATATTGATGCAAATGAATTGCAAATATTGTACACTCTGCAGAACTCTGGGATTACTAGGTATCAACAAAGACGTTTCTGAGAGAAGTGAAAGCACAGGTATTTCCAGTTCTACGATTTTTTTCTACTCTCTATTTCGAGATTTTCGCTGTTCCTCCTGAGGCAAGATTTTTCCTCGGAAGTTAAATACCCGTGCACTTACTATTCTACAATTTTTTGTCTACCTTCCATTTTCATTTCTTTGAGAGTTGTTCCTGCATGAAGATTCTTTGTTGAGAGCTGCACACTCATTTTAACGATTTAACCAGGTCCCATGACCAAAAACAAAAGTAAGCGTTTATGACGAGAATTTCAAAGACGAGAAAATTCGCATTACAAGATTTATCTAAGAGAAAAAACGTTTGTACTGAATTTCCTTGATCTTTCTAACCTATTACTTGAACACCGTGTCAAAGGATATGCTTTCTTTTACATTTCTCCATTTCGCTATTACCAAGCTATGTATCTATTATATTCCTAACAATCTTACGTTTTCACTTTGCCAAAGATAAGAAATTCCAATTATGTACCTACAATTTTTTACCTCCTGAGGAAACAGTGAGCCAACTATAAAGGATTAAAAACACCTTTAAAAACACCAGGCTCGACTTTGTTACTCTTGTTTCGTCCACAACATTGCAGCTTTTTCTAGCTCTTGCCCCCTTTCCTCTTTGATCTCAGCGCGCTAAATATCGAGGGAAAAATGTAACGCGGTCGAAAGTTCTTCTCAAGTTCCTTGGCCTCTTAAAGCCAGGTGGGAGCAGCTTTAAACCCTTAAAAGCCTCGGACGAAGTGTTGTAAAAAAAAAGAAAAAAACTCGGAGGGAAATTTTCGTTCGAACAGCAGAGAAGAAAGAAGAAGCGGGTTCAGCTCAGCCTCGTGAGATCCACAAAGATCGTACATGTTGGCTTCTGGCGTTACAAACGACTCCAATTAGGGTTAGGGAAGGGGAACAAAGGGGAGAGTCTACACGTTTCTTTGACATCAGGTGCAATTGCAGCGGCGAAATTGCCAGCACGAAAGTGGCCAGGAATTAGAGGGGAGGAAGAATGTCGAGCTTCGGAATTATTGAGTTGTAATTGGTGAGGCCGTGGCTGCACTTCACGGGCTTAGGTTGAGCTTTTCGACCCCCTTTCTGAAGAACATCTGATCGAAGATCTGTCTTCATCGAAGACTGCAACTGCTCCGGTAGGTCAGGTTAGGCTTAAGTGGAACTGCTGATGGCGAATTTTTGGTATACAGTTATTGCTGTTAACCCTTTTAACCCTTTACACTGGAAGGCTTCTCTGCTACAGGAAAGTAGCAAAAGTTGCGAGATGACAGGATTACGATTATACGTTGGAACCATAGATCAGGAACCCGAATGCTTCACGTGAACGCTTTAAGTAGGCAAGTATTGGCAATAGAGGACAATTCCTTCGATCGTAATCTTGCATTATGCCAAAATGACGATTCAACAATTGTAAGAATTCGTTCCGAGTGAGAGCGTTCAGGAAATAAACTGTACGAGATGAGGAATGGTTTAGTTTACAGGAAATATCAAGGTTAAGGTTTATTTTACACCACGTTGGTGTCGCGTGCAAAGCTATCGCACAAACGCTAATATCGCTTGTGTTCTGTACAAGGCAACAATTAGTTGCAGGCTGCAATACGATCATAGCAAGTTTTGTTTTTAATTTTTTTAATTTTACAAGGAATTGTGCCCTTTGATAATGGCAAACGAAGGAGAAGATACGTTTCTACAAGATCATGACGTTTTATGATCTCTCGAAAACCTCGAAAAACGGCGGCGGTAGGCGAAAAGATCTGAACGAGTCCTACCGGTGCCAAACAAAAGAATCTTGATTACATGTGCGGACGGTGTCGCGAAATTAATCTTAGGTAACTAATTCAAATTTGTTTTGCTCGTAACGTTAGCAAAACATAGAGTGTGTGAAATGTACGTGATGTCTCCTCGAACGGCTGGAGAGTGTATGTTGTTCGCTCGAGAGAATCTTTGCGAATGTATCTTCCTTTAGGAGTCCGCCGTGACTCCCCCGCCAAGTGCAAGAAGGCACGCTGATTGGTTTTTCACGAAAGTACAAATTACCAATCAACGTGCCCCCTGAGTGTCACCCACCCTTCCATTGCGCCCTTAACGCGCTTTTCCTTGGAAGCAGTGGGGCCCTACCTGCGGGTGCGTGAAATCTTCGCTGTCCTTCGGTAACGCGTCGGAAATTCCCGCCAGGTCAACCCACGATTGACCCTTCAGTAATACCTGGTTTATGACACGTCTTCGGTTATCGAGGACGCGGAAAAGTCGGAATACTAAAGGCATTGTTCTGTAAGAAATTTTTTCGCGGAGCTATGAAGCGTCTTTGTTCTCAAAAATAACCTTCTAGTGCGAGCGTGCCATAACCCCGGTCAACGAAGACCCCACGCGTTCCGTACCTGTGCGACGGAACAGATGGCAAAGTGTTAAAAGTAACATAGAAACGAGCCATATATACAGAGTAAACTACCTAACGCGGTCACCTCTGAATTATTCTATTGTTCGTGGACTGATCGAAATTTTTTTTCTGCCGCATAGTGTGGTT